GCCACACTAATAATGCTAACACGATTGTGTGTTTTGTGACAAAGAATATTCTTACTTGTTTTGGCACACCTAAAGCAATCCTTAATGATGAGGGGACTCATTTTAAAAATAAGTTGTTTAACAATTTTCTTACAAAATATGGAGTCACTATAAAATGTCTTTGGTATACCATCCTCAAACCAATAGGCTATGTGAGTGTCTAATAGAGAGTTAAAAAGAATTTTGTAAAAGACCGTGAGTCCTACTAGGAAGGATTAGGCGGATAAGCTTCATGATGCTTTATAGGCCTACAGGATAGCTTACAAGTCCCTAATATGTATGTCCTTATATCAATTGGTGTTTAGAAAAGCTTGTCATTTACCCATTGAGCTAGAGCACAAAGAATTTTGGGTAATTAAGAATTTGAATTTTAACATGAGCAAAGTAGGAGAGAAGAGGTTGATGCAACCAAATGAGCTAGATGAGTTTAGGTTGCAAGCTTATGAAAGCTCTAAGATTTATAAGGAAAAAACCAAGAGATTGCATAATAACCATTTTTTACCTAAGCATTTTAAACCACAACAACTTGTTTTGTTATTTAATTCTCGGTTGAAGTTGTTTCTAGAAAAGTTAAGATCTAGGTTGTCTATCCATTTAAGGTGGTTTCTATTACACCTTATGGAGCAATTGAGATTATAGAAGAAGACTCTGTAAGAGTTTCCAAAGTTAATGGCCAACGCCTAAAATTGTACTTGTATGGTTATTTTGGTCAAATGAAGGTATCGGTCAAGCTCTTACATCGTTCATAATCCCCATAGATAGTCTGGCTAAAGACTATAACTTTAGCGCTTCTTAGGAGGCAACCTAAGTGTTTGTTTTTTAGCTTTTAAGTTAATTTTTTGTTCTGTTCATTGTTTTAGTTTTTATGTATTTTTTTGTGTTTTGTAGGTTTTTATGACCCTTGGAGTGTGACTTATTTGGCAAATAAGTCCAACAGTATGGAAGAAAGCTATTTGAGTGCACAAAAGGGAGTATCGCTACTTAGTGCAAATGGTTGTTGTCATTGTCCTGCTAAATTGCTAATAAACTATTGATATTTTGCTAATGTACATTGATTTTTATTATTTATCTGATCAATTGGATGATCTTGGGTGTTTGGCTATTTAACTATGTTGTTCGGGCATGTTTGCATAATGCTTATGGTTTAATCATGAGTAATATGTAAAAAAAAAAAATCTAATTTGATCTATTGTGTAAAGTTGATGCAAAGTTTTGATTCTAGGAGAGGGTATGATTGTGCGTGTTTTATGGTTTTGATGAGTGTTAAGATGCATTTCTGGTTATTTATTGAGTTTGAAAGTGTTTGAGCATGTGAAAATGAGATTTCAAGGTGTTTTAAGGGAATAAAATTAGTGTAGGTTTACTTTTTCTAGTTCTAATAAATTCTGTGAATATATCTTTGGTGCCACGGCACTTCCCGTTGACTGCCACGGCATGTATCGCAGCAAAGCACTAGAGTTCAGTGCCTCAGGAAGGCTCTTTGGTGCCATGGCACTGAGATCTTAGTGCCATGGCATCATGATTCAAGAGGAGTATTTTCTTTTATATAAAAAAAATTTCATTTATTTTTTAATATATTTCTATATTAATATATATATATATATTTAAAAAAACCATTTAAAAAATTAGTGTGAATTATTTAGATTTGATTTTTCTAATATTTAATAAAAAATAGAATGAAAGCTGATCAATTATTATTATTATTATTATTATTATTATTATTTGAACATCTCTACGTTTCAGACCCACCTCCCTCCTATCATCTTCCTTGCAGGCCTGATCCTTTTGCCCTAACCCACTTTCACTCTCATCCGTCGTCATCATAAGTATCGTTCTCAGTCGTCGACCACCTCACTCTACTTCTTCACTCGCCACCTCACTTTCATCGTCTACCACCATGTTCTACACTGCTACAGTGTTGTCATCTTCCTTACCTAACCTTGAGCTTTTATCACCCTCACTCATCTTCGGCCTTTGAGAACTCCTCACCTGCAGCATATCCAAAGCTCTCCTCCATCATCCTTTCTGCTGTGCTCCTCTACAGTCCTCCGTCATAATCACCCCACGCCAATGACTATTTGCCATGCCCAAGTTTCCTCCACAGCATTATCACGTCCTCATTCTCTTTAATCTCTATCGCTCCGCCATCCGTCAGTCATCACCACCCAGTATTCTTCCAATCCCCCTTCACAATTGATGAACACAAAATGTTTCACCGCAAGTGTACAGGTCAAAGTGCAATATAGTAATACGTCAAGGTTGATCCCACAAGGAATCAAGCAAAATAGTAATTAGACAATAAAGTTTCCATTTTTATTCACGTTAAACAAAACCAATTAGAAGCGATTGATTAAGAGAAATTAAAAAAATAAAATGAATAAAATGCAATGAGATTCCCAATCCAACAACCAAAAATGTCCAATGCAACCTAGAGTCACTAATCCCTTGCTAGCTTCATAGATCTTGCTTTTTACTCAATTAATTAATTTTAATGCTAATTTTATTAATCTAGAGCATTAATGGCTATAAGGATCTTTCGAACCTCAAATAACCCTCTCTCAAATTAATTATGTTATTTCTAACAAAATTATTCAAGAGGCAACTTTAATTCCAACTCACTCTAATTTGATTATATGAGGCAATTAGATATATTTCTATCCTAATTACAAATTAGATCATAGTCTAATCTCATATTACTCAATCTAAAGGTCCAAATGAGATTTCCTTTGTCAAGGAAAAACCCCAACACCCAAATTCATATTTAATGATGGCCAAACATTAAATAGACAAATTAATGCAAGATTGAGCAACCAAAATTAACATTAAGCATAACTAATGGGTAAAAACAAGCTCTAATCCACTAACAAGTTCATAGCTACTCTAGGTCAAATGTATTCAGCCACTAACAGCCATCAAAACTGTATGAAGCAACAATATTCAGTAAAAGATACATTAAAATGTAGAGAAAAGGAAGAAGAAAGCTTAGGAAGGATGATTTCTGTCACAAATCGCAAGACCCAAGTGTTCCCCAAGCTTCTCCAACTCTTTCTCCACCTTAGAATGCTCCCTGGACATTTAGCTACTGGTTGAAGACGAACTGGAATTGATATGAGGTGCCTCAAGCCCTAAAAATTCGCTAAGAGTCAAAACTGTGCGTTTCATTAAAATCGCGCTTTGCTGTAGCAAAACACGTTTTTGCTACAGCAAACATGACTTGTTCAGATTTTCTTTTCAGTTTTAATTTCTTTGACTTGGGCTCCAAAATTCTATTCTTTGGGCCCCTAAATTGGGCCTTCCTACAAGCATAAAATCTAGAATAAATGATAGAATTGGTCCACTAACTTCCAACTTATATCCAAGCCCATTTTCATACACATTCATCTTTTTAATCATATTTTTGCTAACAAAATTTCAATAAATGACTTCCAATTATATTAAAAATACTAATAAATTCAATAAAATATTGGAAGTCATCAAACCCCTATACTTGAATTGTTGCTTGTCCTCAAGTAAAAGAAAACAACTATACAAGAATGGCAAAAGGAAATGTGAATATTTCATGGTTAAATACAATTCAAACTTTCAAGATTTCAATTTAATTACAAATTTTTTCTGCCTTCCAAAAATAATAATAGCAAGGCACTTAATTAAACAAAGATAAATTTCAATAGATTATCCCTCACCCGTCAAATATTTACACTTTACGCTCAAGGTGTCTAAGGGTTGTGTTTCACTCAATTCCACCTATTATAATCCATCTACCATATGCTTGTTTCTTATCTTAATCTTCACTAAATTTTGCCATTGCACACACAAATTAAAAGGACTTTTGAAAGGTTGTAATGTTCTAGGTAGAATAATGAAATGGAATTATTCAATGGGTCCACATTATATACTCCAATTAGTGCTAAGCATATAAAATGAAGATCATGAAAATTGAAGGATAAATCGCAACTATTTACAAGAAGTATCAATGAATATAAACATCTTTTTTTTTCACTTGATTTTTTTTCTAAACTTCCATATTCTTTTCTATTCTTTCTTTATCTTCTTTTCTTTTGTTTCCTCTTTCTTTTTCTTTTGAACCACTTATTAAATCCCAACTAAATTCTAAGTCCTCTATTTTCTTTTATAGATGTAACACTTAACACTAACCAAAGTGAAAAATGAGAATAAAAATGGATGAAAAGTGGGTAAATCTTAGCAAAAGGGCATATGATGATTTTTTTTTTTAAATAAGGTCAAGGCTCAAATGGGTGAAACAAATAATTTATGTGAAAAAGGGAAGAATATTTGGTTATACTAGCTAAAAGAAATGAATGTCTGAATCATTTTTGTGTATACAAATGGCTATTATAAGTCTCAACAAAAATTCAAAACAAGTTCTAGAGATGGAATCACAATAAATATACTCTTTCTTAAAGGAAATGAACATTTAGGCTTAAAATTCTCACAAGCTTTTTGGACAAACTATTGTCAATTATCCAAACTTAATCTATTGCCTCTTTACTAAAATTCTAGGAAGGTAGAACTGATTTTTAATCAATTGTAATTCTCTCAAGTTCAAATCAATCCGACCTTAGGCACATTCACTAAAAAGAGCATCAAAACTGATTAAAAAAAAAATGTTTATGATTTTCAAAATTTTCAAAATTTGTTTTATCATTTTTTTAAACAAAAAAAAACTATGTACAAATATATACAACCAATTCCTAAAACAAAACAAACTCAAGGAGAAGTAAAATAACAAATATAAAAGCAAGTACACCCTCCCCCACACTTGAATTAAACATTGTCCCCAATGTTTAAAGATAGAAAACAAACAAGAGAGAGGGACACTGAAACTCCCCTGACCAATAGACGTGGTGAGTTGACAGACAGAAAGACTTTGATAGAGGGATGAGAGTGACATATCCTCAAAAGAATAGGTACCTGCTAATCACATCAAATAGACAAGTGGATAAGTTGGAAATAAAGAAGTTAGTTACAGACCATCGAGTAAAGTGTTATCAAATATCAGTTACAAACCAAGATAATAAATGAAACAGTCACAAAGACAAATAGCAAAATAACTAAAAGGACTAAAAGAAAAAGAAGTAAAGATACTAATCAAAATAACACAAATCAAGCAGAGTGGAAGCTCAATTCTGTGGTGGGTTCAGCTTAAGAGGGATCTATAGATAGAATAGGTGAAGGTGTCACAGATGAGCTAGGCACATCATGACGAGGTATATGTAAATGCTGCATGATGAGGCATAAATGCTCTTCCAACCTCTTGACGGCATTTGTTAATGACTCCAATTATTGCTTAGCCCACACATTAAAAGGAGGAGAACGAACAGGGGTGGGCTAATTGACTTTTTCCCCTTGTTCTACCAGAGACTTCTCTACCCGAGATGACTTGGCATGCATTTTGTGGTACTTAATGGGCTGACGAGGTTGCTGTTGTTCCTCATCATCAATAATGGGAACCTTAATAGCCAGAAGCAACTCAGTAATCAAATGAGGGAAGGCAAATGCTCTCTTAGTCTTGACATTGATACACCGCTTTATAGAGTCATAGATAATAGCAATAAGATTAACTAATTTTCTCTCCATGATGCAATAGATGAGAAAAGAATGATCCTTGTTCATTTCGGATGCATTTGATGTGGGCATGACATTGTGAGCCACAAAATGAAACCAAAATGTGCTTTGCCTTGTAAGTGTACCCCTCAATAGCCCTCTTTGACAAAAACTAGTAGAGTCAAAACATAAACGCTTGGCCACTGCATCCCAATCAGGTGTGAAGACATTCATCTCGTATTGTCGATAAAGACAGTCAATAGTGGAAGGGAAGCCATAATAGTTCTGAATAACCTCAGCATTAATTACCACTTCCTTGTCACGTACCCAGTAGGTGTCATTGTAGCAATAAAATGCATTCACATAAAATTCCCTAACGAGAGCAGGGATATAATATTGAAATTTGTCATTTGTCAAGTACACCATCCATCCCCTTCGCACCAGTGTTTGAAAGGCAGCTTTGGAGCATAGAATTGCACAATAACAGTCAAAAATAAAATTCTTGTATCCCACTAGAGAGATAAATCTATGTTGGCATGCATGATCCATGAATTCTCATTGTTGAATGGTTGCTTTGGCTTCTTAGCAGCTTTTTGAGAAGAAGATGGAGCAGTCTTGCGTTTAGCTATACTCTTGCGACCCATTGCTAAACATAAACACAAGACAAACCACTATAATTCACAATAAACAAACCATCACAAGAGTAAGCACATGCCAAAATGTAAATAAAGATAATGAAATGGAAACAAGAGCCATGCCAACTTGCAAAAGTGGATAAGTCAAAATAAAGACCCCACTTAAATAATGAGAACTTGTCATCCATCAGTAGACAATAAAGTAAGAATAATCAATTTTCAACATAAGCAAACAAAAAAAAATCAAATTTTTAAGGTTTAGTGCCAAACATTGGTAAAGTCAAAGAATATTTAACTAAACCATTGTACTCTCAGTAGTACAAACAAAATGGTCCTCACTTTGAAATTTAAACTTGTCAACTAAGGTAAATAACCATTATCCAGAAAGCCAAAGCAATATGCATAATATTCAAAGCACCTATCCAAGAAAAACAAATAACACTGCTCAGTTCACAGCTAATTTAGATAAGAATGGATCCACACTATCCACAACAAATATTCAGTTCAGAGCATAAATTTAGTAGAACCAATTGCATACCACCAACACTCATTGCAACTCTCACAAGTAATTCAAAGCACACAAGCCAACAATAAACAAGGAAGCATCCAAAATTTTAATCCATGAATCAGCTATTAATCCAGATTCTAGCTCAGAAAGTACCTAAGTGAATCCATACCGCTAGTTAAAGGAATCAACTTCAAACCAAAACAAAAAAAAAACGAACTTTAGGCAAGAGTAATAGATATAGATATATATTCAAAAGAAGCAGAGAAAATGAAAGCAGTAAGCAACAGCATGGAAGAGCTATGAGTGGCGGTGTGGGTGAGTTTCAAAGCTGGTGGAATGAGCACAGTTGCAGACCGAACCATGGGAAGACAGAGCTTGGTGGAAAGGTATGATGGAAAGATGAACTGAGGAGCAACAGGGAAGCACAAAGAAATAAGCTTAAGTCTTGCACAGTGCAGATAAAGGAATGAGGGACAGCTGGAGAAATTTAAGCTAGGCCACAGTTGAGATAAGGGATGCGGAAAGCAGGGACAAGACGATGAATAGGGTACTGAAGTTGGAGATCAGCCACTGCGGTAATGAAGAAGCTGCGAGGTGAGATATGAACAGTAAAAACGCGCTTCTGTCAGTATGAAACAGCACAGGGTGACGGCAAAAACTGGCTGAACACGGTGGGGGGAGAGAGAGACGATGAACAGTGTGCTATGAACTGTGAAAACCAGTTACAGGGAAGGCCGAACAGAACAAAACGACGGTAAAAGAGAGTGAAGATACGGCTGAATCACGGCTGGAAGTAGAACGCGACGAAGAGAAATTATGAACAGTGAAAAAATGTAAAGAAATGGAAAACAGAGCAACGTGACGATGGAAAAGAGGAAAAAAAATCGATTGGAGATGCTGAATAATGGCTGGAAGTAGGGAACTCAGCTTCTGGCACTGCTCACCGAGGGGCTGAACACGATGATGTGGGATGAAAATGGAGGATACAGCTGGGATTTTCACTGGGCTTTACAGCTAAGCAAATGGAAAGAGGAAACAGAGCAAGTAAGAACTGATGCAGGACCTTCAGCAAGCAAGAAGTAAGGCAACAAAAAACTAAAGCATGAATGAGGTTGGTGAACGACGGCATGAAGAAAGTTGACAGGAAAAAGGGATCTCGGTACATGAGGCAAGACAGAAAATGAGCACAGTGGGAAGAAAGAGAGGGGATGAAGGAGATGGCAGACCTCTGTGGTAACCGGCGGGAACGCTTCACAGAACAATGGAGATGAAAGACTGAAGAACGATAATGCAGCAGCTGAGGGAGGAGGAAGAGCGGCGGCAAAAGGTTGAAGAAGGACGAAAGTGAAAGAGAAATAATTAGGGTGAAAGCACAGAGGGGTAAAACTGTAAAAAAAAAAATATGTTGAAATTTATATAAAAAAAAAACTGCACCTTCTTTTTTTTTTTGTTTTTTTAAAGCAAATAATCAATAAAATATATGAATATAAAAAAAATTTTGAATTTTTTTGTAAAATAAAAATAATAAACTAAAATAGTATAGATATATATATATTTAAAAAAATTATAAAATATTTTTTATTCAAAATAAAATATTTTATAGTAATAAAATAATATTTAAGAAAGGAAAAAAAATTTTATTTGATTGATTTTTTTAAAAAAAAAAGATGAACAAATATTCACAAATTTATTCTTATTAAACTAATTTTTTTTAACTCAAACAAAAATTTTGCTCTAATGAAGCAAAATTTTGCTCCAGCGAAGATGCTCTCTGTAAGTTGTTTAAGCCTTTCACAGAATAGTCTTTCGCTCCAGCAAAACAAAGTTTCGCTCCAATGAACATGCTCTCTGTAAGTTGGTTAAGCCTTTCACAGAATAGTCTTTCGCTCCAGCAAAACAAAGTTTCGCTCCAACGAACATGCTCTCTGTAAGTTTTGATGAAAAGTCACAGAGGCATCTTCTGCTAAAGCGAAATAAGATTTTACTGCAGCGAAGGTGCTCTCTGGAATTTTGGATGAAAACACAGAGAGACCCTTTGCTGGGACAAAATCCTCTTTCGCTGAGGCAAACAAAGCAAAGGACAAAACTACTCAAAATCTAAGAGAAATACGCAAAGAAAGCAAAAACTCATAAAGAAAATAGCCTAAACACCTCCCAATCAACACAATCATCATATCAAACTCGCTTCCACACTTCCTAACATTTAATTAAAAACTTTCAATCCAAAATTTCATCAACACCAGGTCTTGATCCTATATAAAGACATAAATATCATCAATTAAGCACAAGGATATAATACTCCCCCAAAATATTATTGGCCCATTCTTTGATTCCAAGATTTGGCTTTGAGCTTCCAAATTCTTCAAGAACTTTGCAATCCTACAAACACACCAAAATAAAAGAAGAACAAACCAAAAATAAAGAAAACAAACAAACCAAAAACACAAGTAAAGAGAAAATAAACTTGGGTTGCCTCCCAAAAAGCGCTTGGTTTATAGTCTTCAGCCAAACTCTCAGATCATCAAGGTGGATCAACCAAGTGGACAACAGACTTCAATCGCTCTATGTCACCTCCCCAATAATGCTTGAGTCTTTGTCCATTAACTTTGAAAGATTTACCCGTTCTTTCATCAAGAACCTCAATTGCTCCATGTGGTGCTATAGAAAGCACTTTAAAAGGGCCAGACCATCGAGATTTTAGCTTCCCAGGAAACAACCTTAGTCTAGAATTGAAAAGAAGAACTAATTGTCCTGGCTCAAAAGTTCGATGCAAGATATGTTGATCATGCCATCGCTTAGTCCTCTCTTTATATAACTTTGCACTTTCAAAAGCATGGTATCTAAACTCTTCTAACTCACTCAATTGCAAAATCCTTGATGTACCAGCTTGCTTAGAATCCATATTCAGTTGTTTAATTGCCCACCAAGCTTCATGTTCCAACTCAAGAGGCAAGTGGCAAGCTTTACCAAATACCAAGCGATAAGGGGACATCCCAATTGGAGTCCGGAAAGCAGTACTATATGCCCAAAGAGCATCATCTAACTTGTCCGACCAATCTTTTCTAATAGGTCCCACTGTCTTTTCAAGTATCCGCTGGATCTCTCTATTCGTTAGCTCACAAAGGCCATTGGTTTGTGGATGATAAGCAAGAGACATCCAGTGGTGAACTCCATATTTTGTAAAAGAGCTTTGAATTGCTTGTTGTTGAAATGAGTTCCTTCATCAGTGATAATAGCTTTAGAAGTGCCAAACCTTGTAAAGATGTTCTTTTTCAAGAATCGAATCACAGTATTGCCATCGTTGGATTGAGAAGCCATAGCTTCCGCCCACTTGCTTACATACTCCACAGCAACAAGTATATACTGATTGCCTCTTGAAGAAGGAAATGGTCCCATGAAATCCATCCCCCATACATCAAACAATTCCACTTCTAAAATTCCAGATTGAGGCATCTCATGTTGCCTTGAAATATTACCTGTCCTTTGACATCTATCACACTTGGTAACAAAATGGTGAGCATCTTTAAACAAAGAAGGCCAATAAAATCCAGATTCAAGAACCTTAGATGCGGTCCTTAATGCCCCCCATATGCAGATGCATGACAGGCATATAAAATGGCTTCTTGTTCTATTTCAGGAACACATTTTCTAATGATCAAATTAGCACATCTTTTAAACAAAAATGGTTCATCCCAAATATAAAAGTTAATATCATGCAAAAATTTCTTCTTTTGAAAAGACTTCAAATCAGGAGGTAACACTCTACACACAAGATAATTCACAATATCCACATACCATGGTAAATCACAAGTACCAACAACAAATAATTGTTCATTAGGAAAATTTTCAACAATCAACAAGTCATCACCATAATCAGAAACATGAACAAGTCTAGACAAGTGATCAGCAACCTGATTTTCAGTTCCTTTCCTATCAACAATTTTCACATCAAATTCTTGCAATAACAAAACCCATCTAATGAGCCTAGGTTTAGATTCTTTCTTATTCAACAAATATCTAATAGTAGCATGATCGGTATGAACTATAATCTTAGTACCTATCAAATAGACTCTAAACTTTTTAAAAGCAAAACAATATCAAGCATTTCTTTTTCAGTAGTTGAGTAATTTACTTGTACGCCAGCTAAAGTTTTGCTTGCATAGTAGTTAGGATGAAAAATCTTTTGACGCCTTTGTCCAAGCACCGCTCTAACAGCAAAATCACTTGCATCACACATGACCTCAAAAGGTAGTGACCAATCAGGAGCAACAATGATAGGGGTAGATGTTAATCTACTCTTCAACTCTTCAAAGGCCTTTATACCCTTTTCATTGAAATTGAAAGGAGTGTCTTTTTTAAGGAGTTGAGATAAAGGCTTTGAAATCTTGGAGAAGTTCTTGATAAATCGATGATAGAAACTAGTATGCCCTAAGAAACTTCTCACAGCCTTTACATTAGTGGGCGGTGGCAACTGCTCAATAATTAAAGTCTTAGCCCGATCAACTTTAAGACCCTTCTTGGAGACTTTATGACCCAAAACAATACCTTCTGTTATCATAAAATGGCATTTTTCCCAATTAAGCACAAGGTTAGTCTCCTCACATCTTTTCAACACTTTAGCCAAGTTAGATAGGTACTGTTCAAATGATTCTCCAAAAACAGAGAAGTCATCCATAAACACCTCCATAATCTCTTCAATCATATCAGAAAAGATGCTCATCATGCACATTTGGAAAGTGGCAGGTGCATTGCAAAGGACGAATGGCATCCTTCTAAAGGCAAAAGTGCCATAAGGACAAGTAAAAGTTGTTTTCTCTTGATCCTCAGGAGCTATAGCAATTTGATTGTAGCCTAAATAACCATCCAAGAAGCAAAAGAACTCCTTACCAGCCAATCTATCCAGTATTTGGTTAATAAAAGGAAGAGAAAAGTGATCCTTTCTTGTGGCATCATTTAACTTCCTATAATCCATATAAATGCACCATCCAGTGACTGTTCGGGTCAGAATTAACTCATTTTGTTCATTGCTAAGCACTGTCATTCCTCCTTTCTTAGGAACACATTATACCGGGCTAACTCATGCACTATCAGAAATGGGATAAATTATCCTAGCATCTAACCACTTTAGTATTTCCTTCTTGACCACTTCTTTCATCAGAGGGTTCAATCTTCTCTGATTTTGAATGGACTTCTTATGATCTTCCTCTAACAAAAACTTATGCATCACAATAGATGGACTTATACCTTTGATGTTCGCAATTGTCCATCCCAAAGCTTACTTGTGATCTCTAATAACCCTTAGTAATCTCTCTTTTTGATCATCAGACAAAGCAGAAGAGATGATAATAGGCAATGTCTCAAATTCACCTAAATAAGCATAAGTAAGGTGAGGTGGCAAAGACTTAAGCTCCAATGTTAGTGCTTGCTCAATTGAGGGTTTTAGGGATGGAGCTTGTCTAAATTCTAGCTCCAAAGATTCAAATACCCTTTTGGAATTGAGATAGTAAGGAGATGCTTGAAGAAGCTTCTTACATTCAACAATATCATCATTTTTAACCACATCATTTCCCAATAATATAGCATATAGTGAGTCTTTCACAGCAAAAGACTCTAAAGTCTCTCGAACTACCTCATCTAGAATATCTACTTTAAAATAAATTTCAGATTCGCCAGGATACTTCATTGCTTTATGCATATTGAAGCTAACTTCTTCATCATTCACTCTAAGTTTGATCTCTCCTCTTTCAACATCAATGAGAGCTCGTGCTGTAGCTAAAAATGGTCTACCCACAATGAGTGGGAGATCTCTATCTTCATCACAATCCAAGACAAAGAAATCAATGGGGAAAATAAATTTATCAACCTTGACCAAAAGATCCTCTATTTTACCTTTAGGAAAAGCCAAACTTCTATCGGCTAATTGAAGAGTCATTGATGTGGGACTAGCTTCACCAAGTTGCAATTTTCTAAACACAAAAAGTGGCATCAAATTGATACTTGAGCCTAAATCACATAATGCCCCACCTTGAAATTTGTCTCCAATCACACAAGGAATTGAGAAGCTACCTGGATCATGGCATTTAGGAGGTAGCTTGTTCAAGAGAATAGCACTACACTCTTCAGTAAGCATAACCGTTTCACACTCACCCAATCTTTACTTCTTACTCAACATCTCTTTCAAGAATTTAGCATATTAAGGCATTTGTTCTAAAGCTTCAATGAGAGGAATGTTGATGTGCAATTGCTTGAAAATTCCCAAGAATTTCTTGTATTGCTGCTCTAATGCCTTCTTTTAAAATCTTTGAAGGAATGGTAAGGGTTGTACCCAAGTAAGATGATCACTAGTCAATCCCTCTTTCTTAGATGTTTTCACTACCTCTTTTGAAGACTCCTTCTTAATGTCATCTTCAACACTCACAATTTTAGCTTTAGGAGGCGTAGAAGATACATCTTGCTCAGTTTGATCAACTTCTGGCTTAGGTGTAGACTAAGGTGTAGGAGAAGAAATTTCAGATAATTGCTTTCCACTCCTTAAGGTAATTGCCTTGCACTCCTCATTTCCTTCTCTACGAGGATTAGTCTCCATATTGCTTGGTAATCCTCCTTTATGAAGTGCAGTCACAGCGGTTGCAATTTGCCCCATTTGAACCTCATGATTCTTAAGGGATGAATTTAACTCTTGTATTAATGGCCACTTATTCTTGATTGCTCTTAATCTAAGAACTCATCAACTTAGCCATCATATCTTCTAAGTTAACTTTTGGCTCTTGAATAGGAATAGACCGCTTTTCAACTTGAAAACCTGGAGGAATGATTAGCTTTACACCAGAAGATGAAGCTTGATTGAGGGTTGCACTATTTCTCCAAGAAAAGTTAGGATTTTGACGCCACCTAGGATTGTAAGTGTTTGAAAATGGGTTGACTTGATTATTACCACGATAATTCCCAGCATAATTAACCATCTTAATTTGTTAAGATAGATGGCACTGGTCAGTTGCATGTGCATCTCCACAATAATCAACTGAGCATATATGGCATGATCTCCTATTGGCCCACCATTGTTTCAATCAACACGTGCTTCTAGATGATCAAATCTTTTACTCAGAGTCTGAAGCATAGCTACCACTTGTGAAGATGAAGAGTTATCAGCAACTCTTTCTAGTGGTCTCCCAGGTCTTCTGTCATTGTTGTTCTGAATGTAATCAGCAGCAAGATCATCTAAATAGTTCCAAACATAGTTTACCAATTGCTTTGTAATCCCACCATTAGTGACTGAATTCATTTTAGACTTGGATTTTGGTGTCAACTGGCTACTAAAGACTTGAATCAAAACCTATTTCTCTTGATTATGCCCTGGACTTTGCTTCACCAATTGCTTGAACCTTTCCTAAGCTTCATATAAATGTTCACCAAACTGTTGATTAAAATTGAGAATGTTGGCTCTAAAATCAACCATCTTGTTGTGTGGGAAAAATCTAGATCTAAACTTGCTTTCCATTTCTTCCCATGATGAGACACTACCTTCATCCAAATTATTGAGCCAATCCTTAGCTTTCCCTTGTAGAGAGTAAGGGAAGAGTCGAAGATGAATGACATCTTGAGGAACTTCATTTTGCTTGAATGAGTCACAAATGTCAATGAAGTTAACCAAGTGTCTGTTAGCATCCTCATCTTGATTTCCCGTAAATTGCCCATTGATAGAACACATTTGTTACCCACTTTTATTTGTCAATTAGGACCATTTTATTAATGATTTATCACCTTCAAGTGCACACATTGCATTAGATTTGAAACTTTGCCTAAGTTTCTAAGATCAGTGCACTAGGGGCATTTTGGTCTAAAAAATGAACTTTTGAGAAAATGTACAAGAAAAATTGACAAAGTGCATTTTATGTCCAGTTGATGAATGGTGAAATTATATTTTTAAAATTCATTTTAGTTTGGGAGTAATTAAATAAAAAAGTCAACACTTTCTTAAGTGTCTTAGTTTGTCCTAATTTTTGGTTTGCCTTTGTGTGAAAATTTTTATATAATTTTGTGCAGCCTGAAACTTGGTTAATTTGATAAATTCTCCCTTCTAATTATGAATTTAATTCTGGACATGAATTAGATTTTATTATATCATATGCTATTTAATTGAATTATGTGATTTATGTGACATAGGTGGCATGTGACTTGTGCATCAATTGGGCAATTGAGGACAACACTCCTTGAGGACAATGGCTGATGGTTTGCACGTGAATTATGATTATTTTGAGGGATTAGATCAGCTAAAATGATGTGGATGACACATGGGAAATTAGGCACACATTGGAATCATCTACAAACCAATAGGAAGTTGCCACCTTGCAAGTGTGACAAGGCTCCCATTTACATTTTAATTTCTTTTTCCTTATTTTAATTAAGCTTCAGCTGATGGGAGACACCAAGGAGCACGCCATTTTAAGTCCCAAATGGGATCCAACACATATCTCATTCATCTTCCACATTCTCTCTCTCTTGTTCATAGTGTTCTTCATTTTCTCTCTTTTGTTCTTCATTTTCCAGCACCCTAACCTCCATTTTCAGCCACCAAACCTCCACAAAACTCATACCATTCTTCTCCTCTCTTCATTTTCATTCCATCCCTTCCATTTTCACAAGGATTGAAGCTCATTTCCATCATTCAAGAGATATGGAGTTTGGCCTTCACAAGCAATCACTAGGGTTCTTGAAGATGAAGATTGGCTAAGTTTCTTTGTGGAATCCTAGAGAGATGAAGATGGAGGATGAGTCTTGAGCTTCAAATTGGCTAAGTTCTTTTGTTTCCTATCCTCTTCTCTTTTTACTAGATGGTTAGATTCCTTAATCTAGGGTCTAATCATCTTAGCTTATAAATTCTAATTTGAATTTGATGTTGATGTAAAGAGAGAGGATTGTTTCATTTAATTTCTTCCTTGGACAGCCATGACTGAATTTTGCCACTCTTTGTTTGGCACATAATCTTGTGTTTTTCAATTAGTGAATTTCTTGTGTTAATATTGCATAATCTTGTGGTGTTAATGCTTGTGTTGTTGAGTAGCTTGACATAATCTTGTGGTGTTAATGCTTGTATTGTTGAGTAGCTTGACATAATCTTGTGGTTGCTCAATTTATGTGTTTGACCATGGCTGTTGAGAGAGGATTTTGAGTGAATCACTTGGCTAATGTCTTCACCAATTGGTTAATTGAACTAGGGACTTTAATCTAAGACCTAGGGAGGTTAGCTAATTAGGTTAATTGGCTTAGGATAATTTTCTTAAGTCATGACAGCTTTAGTCAAGAGGAAAGGGAAGCTAAACTTAGCCTAATCATGAGAAGATAATGAGTCCAAAATCAACTAATCTCTAGGGTTCCATTATTGTAAAAAGGGAAGTTCATTTCACTCACTTTCACTAGCATTTTAATTACTTGCACATTAGGTAATTAGTTTAGATAATTAGCTAGGTAACTAAATTCCTACAAACTTTGGTTGATTTATTTCACTAGATAACTTTCAATTAGACTTAAAACCATTCCTTGGGAGATGACCTAGGGTTGGCCCTATATTGCATTAGGGTTAGCTTTAGTGTAATTTTGAGGATAAGCGACTAATTTCCTATCAAAATTTTGGCGCCGTTGCCGGGGAATGGTTTAAGTTTAATTCTAAGGTTGTTTAGTACTTAATTTACATTTTTAGTGTTCCTGGAAAATCTTTTGAAAAATTATAAAAATTTGTTTTTTGTGTTTTGTTTAGTGTTTTTTGTGTGTTTTGAGTGTTTTTATTCTGTTTTGAAAAAGAAAAAAAAATTAGTGCAATTTTCGTTGGTTTGGTGTAGAGCTGAAAATACTCTGTTTCTAGTGTCTCTGTCTGAAATTGAAAAATTAACTGGGAATGAGTCTGAGGGAATTTGAACGTGGAATTTATTTCATTGAAAGCTCTATATCCTAGCTTCACTTTAAAATTGGTTTGGTCAATTTGGACGTGGGAAGTGTCCTGTGGAAATTTTACAATCTAACAAGGTCCAGGGAGCCATTACAAGGATTCCCAAAACCCTGTTTCAACTTTGAGTTAGCATATCTTCGTCTTTGTGCGTTCAAATTGATTGATTCCAGTTTCATTTTTCTTATCGCTGTCTTATCTTTGTTTCTTGTGTTTAGGATTTTCTTCAATTTTTCCATTTTCCTATTTGAAAGTTTGTTAGAAGCTCTGAAGGTCTTCTGGACGAAATCCTGTTTCTCCAGACCTGAGGACCAACTTGTGAAAAATTCTGGGAACGATTGGGAAGGATTTTTAATCTAAAAGTTTTATATAATTTGCCTGTATATCTCTTGTGTTTCTCATAAAAGTTTCAGGGGAATTTATCATGTGGATTTGCTGATAGAAAATTCACAAGTTCACTGTCTCCAGAGAGCCTACTGTGCGAATTCCAGAATTGCCAAAGCTTCTTGATTGAGCATTTCTAACTCTCTTTCTACTTGTTTGGTGTTTTTTTTTTTCTTTTCATTTTGTTGCTATTGAGTTTAATAAAAAAAATAAAAAAAAATTATTTCTCTTGCTTTTGTGTGTTTTGAATTGTTTCATGTTGATTTGCATTTTAGTTTAGTTTGTTCTTTGTTCTTAATTTTTTTGAGCTTGATTAGTGCATGACCCGAAGAAAACATACCTCTTTTGTTGAATTAGATCCAGAAATTGAAAGAACTATTTCTAGATTGAGAAGATCACAACCTATTCTTGATTCTCATTTGGTTTGTAATTCAACAATGGAAGGTATCTTAGGACATGAGCATGTGCATAATGAGGGCCATGGGAATGGGAATGAGAATTTGCATGATGATGGCCATGTTAATAATGAATTTGAAGGCTTGCATAACCCTAGAGAGGAGAGGAGCATTAGGCAATTAACTCAACCTAATTGGCATGATAATCCTTATGGCTTATATGTTCCTCCTACTAATGTTCAATTTGAAATTAAATCCTCCTTGATTAATGCATTGCCCTAAATTTCATGGGTTACCAGGAGAGGATTGTCATAGGTTTTTGCATACTTTCCTATTGGTTTGTGATACTATGAAGCCTATGCATGTAAATGTTGATGATGTTCAAGCTAAGGCTTTTGTATTTTCTCTTGAAGGTTTAGCAAAGGAGTGGTATTTCAACTACCCTTCTTATGTGAAAGTGAGCACATGGGCCGAGCTAAGAAGACTCTTCTTAGATAAATTCTTTCCAAATTCCAAGGTCACCAATTTGAGAAAGCAAATCTATGGGGTCCAACAAGGAGAGATGAGAGAGTCTCTATATGTTGGCTCCACAAATATCTCAAGTGAGCAATGTAAGTACTTCTCAAGCACTTGTCCCTTATTCTTGTACTTTTTGTGACTCACCTATGCATGTAGAAAGCAATTGTCCTATTAAGTTTGAACAAGTAAATGCTATCTACAATGGAAAACAATCCTATGGTGGGAGGCAAGGGCAAGGAGCTTATTCTAATACTTACAACCCTTCATGGAGAGACCATCCTAATTTCTCCTATTCAAATCCAAATGTGGCTTTACAAGACAATCAACAAAGAGGATCCTATCAAAACACCTTTGGCCGTGACCCTCCACCTCATTTGTCTCAAGGTAGCTCTTCTCAAAGCTACA